TATATATATATATATATATATATATATATATATATATATATATATTCACACATTACAAAAGAGAGCATCGAAAGAGAGAGAGGGAGGGAGGGAGGGAGAAAAACAGAACAATTAAAACTGATACAAACCTACACAAAACAAAATATAAGAAAATAGAGGTGGTTTCAAATATCTTGAGTCGATTATCCAGAATGAATATTGAAGAGATTGACGAGGATGTCATGATTACTGTGTTGTTGTAGGGTGGATGAAATGGAGGCTCACATTCATAGTTTTGTGTGATAAGAAGGTGTCATCTTAACTTAAAGACAAGTTCTACAAAGTCATGGTACGTCAAGTTATGTAGTATGAAGTGAAGTGTTTGCCAGTCAACAATTCTCACATTCAAAAGATAAAAGTGTGAAGATGAGGATGTTGCGATGGTAGATACAATTAAAAATGAGAATACCTAGGACAAGGTGAGAGTGACTTTGGGTAAAGACAAGATGCCAAAAGAGAGGTCGAGATGATTTGTGCATGCGATATGGAGATGCACGGTTGATACCGATGCAGATGTTGGTTATGAATGGATTTGAGAGATGTAGAGGTAGACCGATTAGACATGACATGACATGACGTAGTTACAATTTACCGTGTACATAGCCTTAGATATGAAAGTATGAAAGAAACAAATTAGGTAGAAAATTAGTAGGTGGAAGTGTGTCCATACCAGTAGGTAAGAGTGATTTGTCTTGTTTTCTTTACTCTTGTAGTTTCTTGTTCTTCGATTTCCATAACTATCTATTATTTTTTGCAATTTGTTTGTAGTGTTATTTTGTTGTAGTTCTTTTCTGTTACTATGTGTTGTTTTTGTTACTCTATTGTTTCTTGTACTTTCATTATGTTTTTTCTAGACCGTGAGACTATACCATATTGTCCGCTTTGTACCTAACTTGCACGGTTTTCTCAAAAAGACAGCACACCATTAAGAGACCCTACACCTTTTAAGTAGCTTCCCAATCCTTTTAGCTACTAATGTGAGATTTTTGTTCGCTCAACCAACAGTGTTCCGTTCAACCTAAGTTCCATATGGCTCATCACTACAAACTATGAGTTAATTTTCATGATTTACTATGTGTCACCCGCATAAGAGATCCTCTTTCATTTCATTTCAGCTACCAATAATATGTCATGGGTAATGTCTACATATGATTGGGCTTTAATGGCTCAAAACCTGTTTGATGAAATGCCTAGTCCATATGGGCTGTCCTTGAGTGTTTTCTTTCAAGACACATACAAAAGTAGTCCTACAAATATGTGCTATATATTATGGTAAGTTGTTGTTTAGCTTATAAATACAATAGTACTACTCTGCGTTGCATGTTCTCATATATGGAAATAATGAAAAGTTTAACAGCTCTTAATTAACTCATTTTAAGAAAGTTCTGAGTCATGCTCTTTTTCATGATCACACTGCAAGTCATGTTGCAGCATGAAGCTGTTCGAAATGCTGCTAGCTATATTGAATATAGTTTCATTAATTCTGAAAACTTGGTTGACAGGAAAGTAGTTAAAGTGAACCGAGCTAGTTAGGACTTGCTTTGGGAATTGAAGCTTCTGGCCGAAAATTCATTTGACAACTGATGGAAGTCTACAATTGCAAATCATATGGTTGATAAAACTTGTACTATTATATGGTTTAGCCACTAATAAAAAGAAAATATTAAAGTTGTTGAAGAAAATCTCTCCACAAACAGAAATCTTTATTGATTACATAGTGGATGTTGATGAGTTATTGATATGAGAAGGGGATGTGATTTACAACTCAAACATAATACACTACATATATTAACAAAGAACAAAACTTTTGTTTGTTAAAGCTGTTTTGGATTTCCTAAGTCTTCTTTCTTCTGAAAGCAACTTGGCAAACCTTTTCAGAGCTTCTTCATTTGTACAACTATGTTCACATGGTTCAAGTAAACCTGTATGCAAATCAATTTTTCAACAGATTTTTCCCAATTTCAACTAATTTCTTCATGTTAACCTCTGTTAATAGGTCAACGGAAGTTTCTGCCTCAGTCAATGTGTCATCCTGAATGCGAATGTAATTGTTTTTGTAATGAAGTGCTTGGAGGAGAGCAGAAATGTGAAAATTTACCATATTATCACTAGAATGAGTAAGAAGGTACAAGAGCCATTTGCGAATACCCCATTTGGCAGTTGTTTTAGCATCGTAAGCTGATGCACCTGTACCTACCATAATCTTCTGATTTTACAGAGGAATAATCCTTGTTTGTCTGGTGCAGTTCACATTGCAGTCACCCATGCTCGTCCCTGCGATTACATCGAAGTAATCTGCAAGTCTTGCGTCCTCTCTATCCAATTTCTATTATTCAACTTGTAAACTTTAAACAGAGAAAAACAGGGGAATATCAATTGAAGTTGGAAGACTGACCTGAAGTTGGAACTCAAGAAATTCAAGAATGGTGGTAGGTATAATGCCTCTAATTCCTCCACCATCAATACTCAAGAATTGTGACAAGATTATCATCAATTAGAACATCATGTTCAAACGTTGTTGCCTTCATCAAGTGATGAATTGCTAAAACATAATGTTAAAGGAAGAAAAAAACATCTTTTTTTCCATTTGTATGCAAAAAGAAGAGACAAACAATACAACATAGTTGGGAGGAAAAGTACGTTATAGGAAATATGGAAGAAAAATAGTATCTTTAGGGAATGCTGAAGTTTTATATACGCTACTGAAGATTACTTGAGATATTACAATCATCAATTACATCTCTATTTATACTAGTAATAATGTAAATCAAATGTCTTGCACAAATAACTAAATAAATGTATACAATTTACTAGATATATGTATTACGAAATCCTAAAAAGACTTTTTGAAAAACTAAAAGACAATTTTAAAAGACTAAACATAAATGTATTAATTCTAACACTCCCCCTTAATGCATTTGCTTGATAACTCCAATGCGTTCTCAAAGATAGTAAATTTTTTCTCTAGGAAGTGATTTGGTGAAGATGTCAACAAATTGTTCCCCAAAATCATACACTCCTCAAAATACCCAAAAAGATATATCTGTTACCCCACAAACAAATACTTATAAAGCCAGCCTAGACTCTAAAAAATAGACATATAATTACATCACAAGAACATACATAGAAAATATACACAGAGTACAAACATTTCTAAAACTAAACCCCAGAGCCAAAGAAACAAAAAACCCAACTGAAGACTATATAACCCAATATTTACAAGGATACAATAAGCTAATTGCACAACCAGGAATCAACCCAAATCTAGTAGCAACCTGCTACAACTACGGATTATTAAGTACTGTATATACAATAATGGGAGACGAGATATCAAAGATACCGGAATTATATAAAGCCTTTTTACAATATAAAAGAGTAACTAAAGGAACTCTTTTTTATATAAAGTTTTACGCAGCTACAGCAGAGATACTATATGACGAAGTTAAACCTACAATACAAGCTATAAAGATTGGACTTTCAAGAGAGATGATAATCCCAGAAAAAATAGATATCCAAGAAGAAATACAAAAAGTGGATATTCCAGAATTTTATGCAAATAAAAGAACTATCGGAATAGCTACTAACTAAGTGAGATGACAAATAATTACATAAACGAAAATGCAATTTGAACATATTACAACAGAGACTAGACAATCATCTACTCAAATTGCAGAGAAATTAGAATAGCAGATATGGAAGACCTAAGACAATGGATATTGAGCTTGCTAAAGCCAGAACAAATACCTACGACAAGAGCTATACGAAAGAATTTTATTTCAGCCAATTTGATGACAAGATATTGCAAATTAATAGGACAAAAATATCCTGATCATATATGTTCAAAATGTGAAGGAGAAGACAATTATGTACCAGACGTCCAACTAGAATAAAATGGCACCACAGTTTGGGTGTACAAATAAAAAACAAAAATCCAGAAGATATAAAAATTATAGAAAAAATAAAACTAAGTATAAATATAAACAACCAAGACGAAGGTATTATGTAAAAAACAATAAAATGAAAAGATCATATAGACCTAAAAGAAAAATATCTCAATGTACATGTTATAATTGCGGAAAGATAGGACACATAGCTAGAGATTGTAAATTACCTAAAAATCCAAAAAGAAAACAAATTGCAGAAATAGTTATAGATGATGACGAATATATGCAAATAGAATACATAGACTATGAATTAAGTGAAAACGATAGTATATATGAAGTATCAGATATAGAAACTGAAAATGGAGAAGAAAATCTAGATAATGAAATAGAAGAAGAAGAAATATAATGTCTGAAAATGAAATAATATCTAAAGAGAATTATGAAGATGAAGAATCATCACACCAAAAAATTATATTTGATAATACACTTTTTGAACAAATAAACTGAATTTCGTCTTTTTCTTGTGTTTCTCGGATAAAATAATACTTGATAAATATATACTTTGATCTTTCATGATTGACTAGATTCTTGGTAATTGTGATTGTTGATTTGTTATCACAATACAAAACAATTTCTTTTTTTATTTTTCACCAATGTTTTCAAATATTCTCCTAAGCCAAATAGATTAAGAAGTAGCCTTAGCTGCTGAAACATATTCTGCTTCAACAGTGGATTGAGCAACAACACTTTAATTTTTTGATAATCAAGAATAAATACTTGATCCAAATAAGAAAACATAGCCAGAAGTACTTTTCATGTCATCTATATTTCCAGCCCAATCACTATCAGAATAACCAATTAAGTTCGAATCTCCACCAAATTTGTACATTATCCCATAATCCATTGTTCCTTGAAAGTAGCGCAGAACACGCTTTGCAGCTCCAAAATGCACTTGACTTGGTTCTTGCATAAATCTGGATAATAAACTAGCAGCAAACATAATATCTGGCCTTGTTGAAGTAAGATATAATAAACTTCCAATCAAGCTCCTATCAAGTGAGCTATTAGCTTTCTTTTCTCCATCATTTTTTCTAAACTTCTCATTTGCTACTAATGGTATGGTCACAGATCTACAATCCATCATTTTGAATTTTTGAAGAATACTTTAAATATATTTCTTTTGAGAAATAAAAATTCTTTCTTTCACTTGAGAAACTTAGATGTCCAAGAAATAATTTAGCAACCCAAGATCACTCATTTCATAGGCTTGCATCATATCTTGCTTGAATTTTTGCATTATCTTTACATCATTTCCTGTAAAGAGAAGATCATTCACATAGAGACAAACAATGATAATGTTGTCATATTCTTTCTTCACATATAAAGAAGCTTCACTTTTACTTCTCTGAAAATTATTTTTCAGAAAGTATGTATCAATTTCATTGTGCTAGGATCTTGGAGCTTGCTTCAGCCCATAAAAAGATTTTTTTTAGCTTGTACACCTTTTATCCTCTCCCTTGAACAAAAAATCCTTAAGGTTGCTCAACATAAATATCTTCATCAAGTTTTCCATTCAGAAATGCAGATTTAACATTAAGTTGAAATATCTTTCATTTCTTTTATGCAGCAACAATAATTACAGTTCTAATTGTCTCAAGATGAGAAACTGGAGAGAAAGTTTCATAAAAGTCAATATCTTATTTTTGCGTGAAGCCTCTAGCAACCAACATTGCTTTGTACTTTTGAATATCTCCTTTCTGATTGAGTTTGATTATGTAAATCCATTTTAGACATACAACTTCTCTTTCTCCCAAGTATTATTTTTTTCAATCATCTGAATTTCTTCTTCCATGACTTTCTTTCAAACACCATTTTTATTTCTTCTTCATAATTTTCTGGCTCAAAATTGGCAAAATTACATCTTTCATAAATGTCACTCAACATTTTTGTTCCTCGTGGAGGCGGTTCTTCATCATCTGAATCTGAGATTTCTCCCCCTTGAGGGACACCTTCCTCTTTCTCATCTTCTTCTTGATTTGAAGATATAATAACAATATTCTCTATCTTTTTATCCTTTCAATTTCATGTTGTTTTTTCATCAAAAAATGACATCTCTACTAACAACAAGTTTGTTAGTTTTGACATCGATAAGCCTATATCCTTTTGTCACATCACTATAACCAAGAAATATACATTTTTGACTTTTTTCACCCAATTTTGTTCTTTTCTCAGCAGGTACATGAGCATAACAAATATACTCGAAAAATTTTAAATGACTTACAGAAGATTTCATTCCACTCCAAGCTTCAACAAGTGTCTTGTGCTTTAGTGCCTTTGTCGAGCACCTGTTAAGGATGTACACTGTTGTATGCACTGCTTCTGCCAAAAAATATTTTGGCATCACTTTCTCATTCATCATAGTTCTGGACTTTTTAACAATTGTTTAATCTTCTTTCAGAAACACCATCTTCTTGAGGAGTATAACCTGATGTAAGTTGCTTCTGAATACCTTCATTTTTGTAATATTCTTGTAACGACCTGTTTAGTCGTTTTGAGTAGCAGATTTTATTTCTGGAAAAACTGGCTGAGACGACGGAACCCACGACGGACCGTCATGGGCACGACGGACCATCGAGGGGGTCTTGTTCCAAAACACTTAGAATTCTGAAATTTGGGTACTGAAATCGACTCTCTGAACTTCGTGACATGGCATGACAGACCGTCGTGGGAACGACGGACCGTCACATACTCTTCAAGGAATTGAGTCTCTGAACTCTATGACGGAAGCAGCAGGACGGACCGTCGCAGGCACGACGGACCGTCACAGGCTGCGTAATCCCAGGCTTGGTTGGATTTCTTTAAATGTTTTAAGGGACATTTTGGACTATTCCTGCTATAATTATAAAGTTAGTGGTTGAATATTAATAATCCAATTTCTTGAGGGTTAAAAGAGATAACCTTGAATTAATTAATGGGTTCATTCACCATCTTTTATACTTAATTATATGCTAATTAGGGTAAAAGAAAGAGGGTTTGAATTAGAAAAATAGAAAGAACAAGGAGAGGGAAAGAGAACGATCGAGAGAAGAGGGAAACGAAGAGGAAATAAAGCTTTGGGAAATTGCTTGCTTGATCACGAATCTTCGATGGAGGTAGGTT